AAGCTGGACCAAGGACAGGCTGGTTAGGCTGGCGCTAGAGAATGTACTGAAATGCCTAACGCGATATCTCAGTTTTATCTTTCAGCGCGAGACTGTTAAATACCTCATTTCACAGAAATTCTACCTGTCGGAGTTTGCGGTTGTGAGTGAAAAATCGCCATTTTGTCCGTGACCATAGAATCGAGAAAATATACACAAAATAAATAAACATTCGCGGGTGATGAACAACTCCAGGTTGTCTTCGTGGGAAGCAGCTGTTCCACATCAGATGCACGAGATTTTTCGAAACTACTGAAAAAAAACTATATGTATGTTGTGTAGTAAAAAGAGTGTTGTTAACGCATCCTATATTGCGTTGCAGAAGTGTAGAATCTCGTAAGATGTCAAAAATGTGAAACTGAGTAAATAGTGGGTGTTTCGAAAGCCGACCCATTAATTTTTTGTTTTTATTTACCAGATACTGCGTACATGTAGTCCAAGAAGGGAGGGCAGTGAATAGGTACAACAGTGATTGAGTTGCAAACAGAAAGATCAAAACAACAAGAACACTAATACATAATAATAACCACAACGCTTTCCATTCATTACACAATGCTGTTCGGTTATTGTACGATAAAAAAACAAGAATTCCTATATGTGTTCGTTCTCGCGACGTAGGGTGTTAAGGCATCTGGTCTACGGTGATGAGGGGTTCGGGTTAATAGGGACAATAGATATAGAGATGAGTCTAGTGGTGTACTGTTTGTGTAAACTAGTTAAAGAAATTCCACTCTCTGCTTCTGTCTTCTCATCTCCAGTGGTTCAATGTGGTTACCCTTCAAAAGTTCTGTGGGTAAATCCTGTCTTGAGAATTTGTCAAGTATATGTAACTGCCTTTCGGTGCTCTCTCTCGAGGTTATTCATATTAGTCTTTAGCATACGAATCCCACACGTTACAAGCACATTGTTACGTCCGCGAAAGGGGTTCATTCAGAGGTGACGTAATGGTCGACTTGATGGTGTAAAATAAACGCACACCAGAGACCTCTTGCCACCAACCGAATGTCCTCTTCATCTGCCACCACCCTGTTCCCCACTACACAGATGCACATACCTAAATTACATATGTGGTAACAATATTCTAGGTTAGTTTTGAATTAGACGTTGCAGCATAGAATATTTACATAGGATGATGTTTTTTTAAGTTTAGGCCTCAGGAGGTATAATTTCTTCAAGGCTCAGCAAGCATTACTTACGTGGTCATTTAGGTGAAGTCGTTGTTAAACTTGACTCCTAGATACTTGTATTGGGCTACTTCGTGCAGTAACTTCACGCATTACAAAGTACTCGGACATATTAAATAATCAACAGCAGCGAAACTGTCAGCACAGCTACGTATCAACAGCTACGTAAGTTCACGTGTTGGCCTACTAAAGCGTAGGAGGCCTTTTGCTGATTCGCAAAAGAAATATTTCTGGTGTAGTGGACACTCTACAAGGGAATACGGCGCGGACGTTCGTTAGTTTCCTCACAGCACGGATGAGACTTGCACCGAGAACCGAAGCCGGTTAGCAGATCAGAAGGCGTTGCTCAATAGGCCCGATTGCGCTATCACAACCTAATCTTAAAGTCGAAGCTCAAGCGTCTTCCAATTTTCTTCAAGTCTTTCTCGAAAAGCCAAAGGGATACCCAGTAAAGTAGAATGAAACCCCGCCATGCCTCAGTTATACACAGCAACTCGTATACCTTTGTTTGCCCTCATCGTTTCCAAGTGCACACAATGCTTGCCAAGCGATTCGATATTAAGAAAGGTGATTGTGAGTTCATCTTTAGGCACCTTGTGAAACTCTTTGGGATTTATCAACAAAGGTGCGCTTGGTTGACACAGACACCTTACCGAACGAATGAAATGCTGTACACAATAGTTCGCTCTGGGAAGTCTGGTGACCTGCGCTTTGATGGTTACGTACTGTGAGTGTGTAAAATTAGTTGACGTTTGTGATAAAAGCGTCAATAGCCCACCTTAAAGCTCGCCTTCTGATACCTATTAGTAACCTTGTCAAGAGAGAGCTCTTTTGGTGCAGCGAACACTGCAGCCAATTTCTTCTGTACAACTGAATAGGAAGTTCGGATAATTGGTACAACTACATTCTTAAAGAAGCCCTAAAGGAAGGAGGCTAAGAAGCTAGAAACACCTTAGACGAGCGCTGACTCACCACTTAAAAACTTATTAGAAAGGAACATCCAAAAAAAGCCAGAAACAGAGAAAAAGAAGGAAAACGTGTGAAAAAACAAATAGGGTAACATATTCTTGTGTACATACCATACGCCAGGTAAAAGTGCAATCATGATATTGATTGGTCCACTCAAGCCCTTCGATGTTCGCTATTAACATGATCGCAGTGCTGCGACTGCACCATCGTTTGGCTTCCAACATTCGAAAAATCGACAAGCTGCATTGGGTCGCTCAGGTGTTCAAGCTTCATCTCTTATGCCAATTCAATTTTATACTAATCTATTGGATCATTGTTTCGGAGCAACCTTGAGCCTAGCGTCCATAACTCCAGTGTTTGGTGCATTCTATTGGACAATGAGCACGCACTTCGTTGGATGGCTTTTTTATTTTAGTGGGCCAGAAGGTGGCGAGTGGAGCTTGTCCATTTCTGGTGGCAGAGACTAGCAAAGCGAGGCTGCGGACGATAGAAACGAAAGCCCTAATTAGGAGGTTGTAACAGCTCCGCTACGAAAGCAACTACCTACTATGGGTCTTCACATTTCATCATAACATCAGAGACAAACTGAGGACCTTGTGATCGACGTTCCCCAGTTTCGCACACATTCGCACATGCACATACTCAAGACCACACCACGCGAATCTTGTGAATTCGTAAAATCCTTGTGGAACTCACCAAGTTTACTGCACACACGACTGAATAGAGTGGGCCCATTTTGTTGACTTTGGCCTCCATTCGAATTATCTCGAGTCGAGGCAACGGTACTTTGCCGACTGTGGCTTGGTGTCGTCTTCGCCAAAACATTTGCCTTTCGATTCGGCATGGAAGAAAACGCTGTTTGTGACCATCCTGGCAGTGATGAAACTATAGACCGAATTCTTTGTCACTTTTCCGCTACAGCACATACAGACTGCCACTGTTTGCTGTGTTGACCCGCCTGAATGACGGATCCTTGCCAGAACAGTCAGTGATTAACTACCGGCGTGAATAGCCCTCGCACAGAAAACCAATCATGGCCTCATTGAACTTCTCACGAGGCAGCGGCCTCTTTAACGGGCTATATAGTGTTCTCGCTCCACGTTTTTCTCAAGTTCATTTTTGTGTTGGCCCGTCTGCTTTTGCCTTCACTTTCGATCTTTGTTTCACTCTGCCCTTCCTCAAAGGACAGAGTAGTGAACCGGATGGTATTATCCTAGTTGACTTCCCTGCCATGCTGTCAGTTTATTCTCCTTGTCTCTCTCTCGTGCACATGTAGGAAATCACCGTTCGTAGAACGTGGTTATGTGGTCTTGTGCGGTTTGGTCTGGTTAGAACTAGCGCGGTAGCATGTTTTACGAAGATATTGATGGTCCCGACATTTGCCGTTGTACTCCCATTCCCACACAACATAAAGTAACCATTGTTTATCTTGGTCGACTTGGACGAATCACTTGGGGATAGCGAGTTGCGTCGTCGGAAGGAATCCCATAGCTCGTAATGGCAGCTCCATGGTGGTATTGATGAAGCAGAAAATTTATGCTTCGAGGAAGAAGAAGAAAAAACTTGGCACGTTCCTATCTTTGTTGAGCGTGCCTTTCTTACCATCCTATGGCTTTGCGTGGCCCTGCGCCGAAAGCTAAGCTCACATTCATCTGTCCCTTTGCCCCGATACATGGGTACAGTCTTCATATCCTACCGCAGGGTCATTCTGAATTGGTGGTATAGGTTATCATTCGAAAAAAAAAAACATTGTCAGCCATGCTTACTAAAGTCATAGCTGTTGGAGAAGAGCAATAGCTGAGCAGTTTTATTTGGCCTAAGGGGTTAAGTCCTGGGTCTTTCGCACATGCGACTTTTATAGCGGCCTAAGTGTGAACGAAATCCGCAACAGCTATCTCACAGCAAGCTGACTCAGGGCTCGCGTTCTACGACTCCTACGGGTAAGGTATTAAACGGATATTTAAGTGCGTTGATTTGTCGTTGCCGTTGTATTGTTGCCCCGCTGGTAGGTAAGAACATTCCCACGTATCCACCACACATAACAGAGACCGCGTACTTGCAGCAAGCATTGAAAACTGAGTCAATGTTAAAAGCACCCCGCTGTATTGAATGTGCTTGAGGGGACTGTGGCTACCTTCCGACTTTATTATTGGGGGTGATACTTCAGTCACGCAACTACACACTACGAGAACACTTTTTCGAGCATTAGGGACGTGCCACTGAAAATGCTATCACCGTGTGCTAACGTATTCAGTCTAGAAGATCAGACACTAGAGAATATCGGTAAAATAATAATAGACGTCAAGGTGAAGTTTAGAGAGGGAGCTTGAATACAAAATAAATGACATGATTATCGAGATTATTTTTATCAAAAACCTAAACCTTGCAACTGTGATATCACGTGATAATATAGTTATATGTACACAGTGTGGTAGCAATAAATGCACTCAATCCTGTAATTCATCTCCTTCAATGTTCTTTGGCTTCTCGGGATGGCTATTCGGATATGTGGTGTAGTGAGTTGCACTAGGAATCTACTACTCCTCTCACATTTGCATAATGATCAATCGCGAGATTGTCCTTGTTGCCGAGTGGTGGCGCCAGAATTGCGAATTGGCCATGTTGTTGGTCAAGAAGATTGATTTCAAAATATTTACCGATACATCAATTCGCCTTGTCGTTGCACTTTTAGCAGAAAATAATCGTCTAGACCAGCAGAGCTTGGGGAGAATCTATGTCGAAAGTTGCCGTTGATGAAACCACACTGGAGTTTGTTTTCTGGACACACACAAAGTACGCACGCCTTGCCTAGCCCTTGTAGCCGTATCCACCATACTTAAGGCCACCGCCTATTCCAAGTCCACCGTACTCGAGGCCCGCACCATATCCAAGTCCGCCAAGGCCACCATATCCTCCAGCATAACCGAGGCCTCCGCCAACGCCTCCCAGACCGCTGTGGGCAACGAGGGCGCCTCCACTGTGCACCTTGTTGACGTGATGCACTGTCCTCACCAAAAACGCCGGTCCCGCTATAGCCCTGGCGAATCCAGGACCTCCTCTGAGCAAGACCACGCTGCTCCCGACTCCTACACCTCCCCCTCCGGCTCCGAGACCTCCGCCATAGCCTAGGCCACCTCCGTAGCCTCCGTAACCTCCAACGTATCCAACTCCAAGACCACCGGCCATTGCGCAGACCACCAGAAAGGAGGCAAAGGTGAAGATAGCCTGCGACAAGTATTGAAGTGAGTAAGAAGGCATTATAAATACAAGAAAACAAGCCGTGTAATATTTCAGTGCGGAACACGTTAAGAAATATTGAACTCACAAAAGTAACAAATTGAGGAAGCGTTCTTTATACACAATGCTCTCTACTAAATCTTTGAGTGAAGGTGGCGTGTAGGGCTCTGGTATCACCGAGCGTTTCTAGAACGGCGCATATTTACTTTCCTCTATAGAGTGTCGGTGCATTCATTAGGTGCTTTGGAATCGGAAACGCCCTAATATTATTATCGAATAACAGTCGAGTTGTTGTTTGTACACAAAGACATTTCAAGTACCTTACAGTGAGAATATGCATGAAACAAGAAATTAGTGCTTTAGAATCTCGAGCTCCTTAACTTCCTTCATGAGTTCTTGAAGCAATATTGCTTCGAAGCAAACTATCAAAACCATTTATGATAGGTTACCACACAACGATTACTTTTCAAAAAGTGACAGCAGTCAGCAAAAGGAGGTGTCTGCCGAAGCTTTTCTTACTTATAATGTAAGTAAAATGTTTCATGCCTCAAACATAATGATGGCAGCTAGAACAATGCCGAGGCAATAAAATACCCTCAATTCTAAGTTACGACCATAATGTGCCGCATGTGCGGGCAGTTTTGTCGTGAAATCACATTAAAAGTATGCTTGTGAACGGCTTGTGTTCAATTCATGGCGCGTAAGTTTCCCCAAGAAACTTTTGCGAAGCAAGTTTGGGCAGAGATCCGATTCAGTCGGGACTTTGTGCCATAATGACTTGGCGTAGACTTGACGACCGGAGCCTTATAGATGCGAAGCTTTGTGAGGTTCAAACTCTGATTTTATTCAAGAGCAAAAATATTACACTTCAGAAAGAGAAGACTAAAGGCATTTGCGCCTGATGAGGTCCCTCCACCTGAATCAGTTTACACGCAAGCAATAACCACAAAAACGGAAACAAGTAAAAAACTTACATAAAAGAAGCAATGACTCAGGTAAAACTTTGAATGTTTTGAAAGAGTGAGTGTTTAGTATACCCAATTTGTTCCATTGTTCTTTTGTACTGTCTCGATAATTCATATTAGTGGTTGTACAAATGGCATTTTTTTGTAAAAGAAGTATTATTGCAAATTAAATTGCATAGTGATTCCCCAGACCAATAAACACTAATGAAGGTATGAGTGGACGAGAGTGTAGTAAAATTGTTCCTTAAGCCATAATGACAGCAAGTTGTTCTGTTGGTAGATCATACCAACATAAATGGAGACTTCAGGACACACATAATTAACCTTATCGGTCCAAGTTCACCTTTCATTAAAAGTTAAGCCTAAAACTCGCGCGTAGTCTACACGCAATAAAACACTATTGCGAAAGGTAACATTGGGTTCATTGTCTATAATCTTGTTTTTCGACCTGAGTAACATAAACTTTGTCTTGTTCGCGATGAGCCCTGTTATCTTTGCTGGGAGCCACTTGGACAATCCAGCCAGACACGTGTTTTCATCGCTCGCTACTGAATCTATATCACACCCAAAAAAGAAATTACTCGTGTCATCTGCATACATAACCACTGAACGAGTGCAATCAATGTTGACTATATCAATAATTTGCATGTGAAAGAGCAGCGGCCCCTAAATTGAGCCCTGTGGTATGCCTGTGCATATATCCATGTAGCTAGATGAAACACCTTTAACAATAGTGCATTGTACTCTTGATGACAGGTAGCTCTTGATCAAATCCCAAGGTGTACCTCTCATTCAATACAATGGCAATTTAGGCAAGAAAACGTTTTCGAATAACTGAATCCAACCCCTTTTTAGGCCTAGAAGCAGTCCCACTGTGAAGCGTTTACCTTTTATGCTTGTTATTTATTCATTTTCTACGTGCACCAAGACCCCTTCTGCTGATTTCCTCCTTTTGAAATCCATACTTCTGGTTTGATATTGCATTTTTTTTTCAAGGACGCTAACTTAGGGTTGATAACGTTTTCTGCAACTTTGCTGAAGACTGATAAAACAGTGAGTGTACGATAATTGGAAAATTAGTTTCGATCACCTCCTTAGTGAATAACAGAGCTTCGGCAACTTATGCGCCTAGCACCAGCCACTTTTGTAGTATGTAAGTAGTCCGTCTTTGCAGCATAACGTATGAAGTTTTACAATGGCAAGCTAGAGCAGCTGTGCGTATATTTTGCTTCAGAAAACGTGCGAAATTCGGGCAGTCGAATGTCTTACCAGAGAATTCATAGTGAGAGTGCTTGCGTTATCCGCTGTTCTTGGAAAACTGTGTGCTGTGTCGTGACTACGCTGGGTCCTTATATACCCTTTCAGTTCCATCCGCTTTGGTGGTTTGTATTATACCACCGTAACGTATCCGCTAACGAAGTCAGGTAAGCTTCACGTGAAGCCCTGAAATTCTGAGGCTACTATCTTTGGTTTCACCCGCATGGACTATACCATGGAAGGAAAGAAAAAAAATTGCATAACTCCTGAGAGGAACACTGATTTGTGTTGATTAGCCGGGCTTAGCTTAAAAGTAGCCATTTTATGGCTTGATCCTTCGGTGCCGTACTAGGGCGCTTCCCTGTCGCATTCCGCTTCCGCAACGGAAAAAAAAAATAATCTTTATGCTTTAGCCATATAGGTTACACCCGCAGCTATTTCTAGTACTAACGCTCTCATGTTTTTTTTTATTTGGAGCATTACCACAGCGCCACCATAGGTATTATTTCGGGGAAGCACAGTGCTTCATAGAAAAAATCTGAAGTTGTATGGTCAACTAAATCAGCTGGTAGCATACTCCATTTGCAATGGCTAATGGAGAAAAAAAGAATGCCTGAACAAATCACTTCTTCGGTGTTATGGCCGTACTTTAAACTTGAAGTCATGACGAGAGGATTGATAATGTTCTTGTTTTAAATATTCTGAAAGAAGAATGTCTTTTTGTTATTGATTGAATAAAATAGTTTCACTCTAAGATTACGTATTCCATCTCGTAAGTATTACCAATAAAGATACCTCTACATACATCGGGAGCTTTCAGTTCGGTCATATTTTCCCAAAACTAATAATGCTGCGATCGACTGAATGCGCTCAAGTGCAAGAATTTGTACCTTGTGAATCGATCCCCCACACTACAGGCGTATTCCAGTATTGGTCGGACGTAGGCATAATATGCGGCCTGTTTAATCTCCTTGGTTACATGTTTAAGATTTCTTTACAACAAGCCTAGAGCTTTTCCAGCTCTGCTGAGAACGCTGCCAATGTGTTCAGATTATCTCCCATCATCAGAAAACGTGCACAAGTACTCGTATTTGTGTTATTTCCCAATTACTTGATTTTTTCAAAAGGTACCTATTTGTATACCTATTGAGCCTTTTAGTGAAACTAAGGTGAACGCATTCATTTGTGTTTAGTACCACATTATTTTTACAACATACCTCCACGTGATTAAGGTCATCCTGAAGCTGGGTGGAATCCTATTGCTTGGTCAGTTCAGTCAGCAAACATTATAATGCGACGCCCAGTTGTATCCGAAATATTATTACTAAACACAAGGAAGAGAAGTGGCCACAGTAGAAAACCCTGAGGTACCGTTAATGTCACTGAAACTAAAGATGAACATGATCCACCTGGAACAATCTTCTGTTTTCTTGAAGTTAAATAGTCCCTAATCCATCGGCAAACGGTTTCATCAGTGTTCAAATACTGCAGTTTTTGTATCAAAACCAAGTCTGATGCCGCAATGATGGCCTTTATGAAGTTATAAATAAACAATAAATCGGTCCAATGGTATTTATAGCTGGTGCTAAATCGTAATATAATTCAAATAATTGGGTATACATCAAGAACCTTGTCTAACACCGTGTTGTTTAGTATTAAAAATGTTACGGAAGTCATGTAATTTATTAAACGAGAAAAAGAACATGTTCAAGTAGCTTACAATAAATCAGTGTCAGAGGAATTGGTCTGTAATTTCATTGTTCTGATTTAGAACCACTTTTCAAAACGGGCACAGCATTAGCTACCTTCCAGTCATCAGGAAGGTTGCCTTCATTGAGTAATTTTTCGTATATAACACAAATGCAGCGAGCTACTGCCTTACAGCCGTGTCCTAAAATTTTGGTTGATATGGCATCTGGGCCAGTTGCTGTAGTCTCGTCAATGCGCTGTAACAACTTAATTATGCCATTAAACGAAAACTATATCTCACCCACAGGCAAACACTGTTCTTTTTATTTGCGAAAATTACTTGTGTAGTAGGGCGAAGAACCTAATTAAAAATATCGTTAAAAAGTGTGGCTTTGTCACTATTCTTAGTTACAACCTCACCACCGCAACGTAGATTTGGTGGGCTGACCTTCTGACTACCACATCGTCTCATATACTTCCAAAACCTCTTCTTATTGGGAAAGCCAGCGGAAAAACTTAAAATACTTTTCCTGGCTTATGCCAGTTTATTTTAATGAACTGCTGTCAAATATTTTTTTAAATAAAATTTTCAGATGATTGATTTCGGCAGTATCAGCAGAAGCCTCCTTGTTCCTTTTGGTAAGCTGAATAAGATGTAAATTATACCAAGCTTTTTTTCTCATTTACTTGGTTTATTGCTTTAGAAGCTCGGGACTTGGCACCGATTGAGCCCAGTAATGTGTTCCTTGAACACTCGCCATAGATGCTCAACAGGTGCTTTGGCTGCTTTGCATTCAAATGACAGAAATTGATGCTGTGGTGCCGATTATATTTGCGCATAGTTTGCTTTACTGTAAATAAAGTTGCTCCTAGATTCGAATTTCTTTGCATTTACAGGACGCCTGGTTAGCTTTGCGATGCCAGTGTTGTGATCGCTAATACCGAGAATGACGTCTGTCTTATAAGTGTTTATATACGGTAGCAGTTATATTGACACTCTCGGCTGGAGTATGCCGCTAGCGTCGCCGTCACTCACTG